GTTTCGCCAGCACCCCCCCTAACCGCCCCACCACACACCCCCATCCCCCCCCTCAGATCTCTGTGGGTCACAGGGTCACCTCATCCTGTGCCCAGAGAACTGCTCCTGTCTGTGCTCCTGCACTCTGCACTCTGAAGATGCCGGTCACAGGTGCTGGCGAAACGTTAGGAAACAAAACTTCCAGAACACGGCCACACAGCCCGGAAGACCCACACCAGCCAACTTATTCAAATGTTCTACAACAGTATTGTTTTATACTGCTGCTTTGTAGAGAGAGACACATGCACAAGAACAGAGACAGATTTGGAGGCTGAGATTCGCTAGTGATTGTATGTTCAGACAATCTACTTCCAATCCAATACTGTATAATTAATATTATGTATTTTAATTAATTAAGCAGTGTACAGAGTGGTTAAGTAAGAATCCCTCTTCTATCTTCCTTCCCCTTAAAATTAATTATAATTTTATAATTCACTTCTCCAAAATATCCATTCCATTAAGACCTTATTTACATATTTTAAGAAAATGAACTGGTTATGTTTCCCAGCAGGTAGCAGGACAACCTAACCTTGGTTGATCTTGAAAAAACTAAGCAGGGTAAGAGCTGGTTAATAGTTGGATGTGAAATCACCAGGAGTTTCAAAGCTGTAAGTTAGATTGGAAACTCTTAAAACCATCCTGGAAGACATGTCTGTATTGTCTAAAGAAATTAAGCTTGACTCAAGGAATGTTTAGTTTATAGCTGTTAATCTAATTAAACTGTGAGTACACTAGTCTACAGAATGTAGCGCTATGCTGGGCAGAGACATTTCTTGTGTGTTGGATTTCCCCAGCCTGCCATTAGATAATGACTTAAAACTAAGATTTCCCCTCACCCTCTGGAGCACTGGTAGCCTCCACACAAACAAACAAACAAACAAACAAACACTAATGGATGATACTGATGCTGGGCTTTTGTAACTGATTCACCTGGGACAGTCACTTTACTCTGGAGTAATCAGCTGGAAATGAAATGAAGACCTCTTCCTGCCTGACTACTAAGAAAGTTTACTTCTGATTTTAAATCCTCTATCACAAACTTAGAGCTCACAGATTGTAATATACAGTAATGTTGTAATTCCTCTGTATTCTAATTTCTTTTTCAGGCAGGTTGCCAAATACAAACATATTCACTACAGATAGTATTGGTACTGGAGCTGTGCAAAAGTTTTCAAAAGGACTAGTCACTCTCCATCTAATGTAGCTTGCAGGTTGTTGTGGTGGTAATATGAAGAGATATCTCCATATAAGCCACACTGCATTCCTGGAAAAAAGATGGAATATAAATCTAACAAACAAATAAATAAGCCATTCACTTAAATCTGTTATATTAAATTATACTTTACCAAACTGAATAGGATTCAAATGTACATATCATCTGTAGTGCTAAACAGCAATCCTGGATATCTAACGACATGTTATTATCACTTTTGTCTTTTTAACATCACTACTCCTGCTACTACTTGATTTATAATCTTTTATTTTATGCAACTCAAAATGGTGCACATAATGCTTCCTCCACCTATTTTCCCCACAACAACAACCTTGTATGGTGGGTTAGGCTGGCCCAAAGTCACCCAATTGGCCTTCATGCCGAAGGAAGGACTAGATAGCATGGTATCCTGGTTTCTAGTCCAGCACCTTAACCACTGTACTCTTATACAACTCCTGATTTAAGGCCTTTTTTATTCAAGGGATGCAAAAATGGCAACTGTTGTTTTGCTCATACACACAATGTGCAACTTGATGTAGTGAAAATCAGCTTACCCAATAGTTTCTGGAATAGAATCCTTGTAGAACTTGGTGACTGCCTGTATATGTTCTTTCTGAGGGCATTATTCAGTATATTAACTAAAACCTTCTAACTTACTGTTCGTGAAAATCCAGCATTGGTGGTTCAAACCGAATAGGTCTGCAATTTCCTCGGTACATAGATACACTGTTACAAGAAAAGAAAAGAAAGGAAAAGACACTCAGTTTTAACTCATGCTCAGATACATATCTAAAATCTTATAAACTAATTTTAAACAACATTAGAAATTCTACTTTTAGAATTAAGTCATTGTTTTATATAAGAACACATATATTTTTTTCCTACACATACAAGCAGTGACCTAGATCATACAGAACACTTTAAGACAATTTGCATTCAGAAGTCTGGTTGAGACAAGATGCATATGATGCAGTAAAGAGCTGTCTTGGTATCAAGCAAGAAACTTCATGTAAGCATTACCAAGAATTTATTTACTCACTCATTTCTGCACTAGTTTTTTTTAAAATAATAGAAAACAAAAATGCACATTGTGCAAAGATAATTTTTCAAAAATTCTATTTATCAATTATTTTTATTACTCATTTATACACCAGACTGCATGAACGCACACAATGCAGTATACAGAATAAATAATAAAAATAACTTAAGATGTCACCTATAATGAAATATGAAGCTATGTGAGCCTCTGAGGTACTCAGTGTTTTCACTAAAAGAAAATGAAATCTTTCCTATCATTTTGGGAAAAGGATTGGTTACATCTGAACTCAGATAGTTTTGGATGACAAAGATTCTTCAGATCAATTTCATTTTAGCTGATACCCTGATTTGGAGACAGAAACAACCTTGGTTGTTCTGTTAGATTTCTAATTACAAGACACAAGAGGAACAGAGTTCTCTCAGTGGCTATTATTAACTATGATATCCTACTCAGTCATCTTGCCACAGAAGTATTTAGGGATGTTAAATCTCTCCTGGAATCTGTAGGAATGCCCATGAAGGTAAAGCTGAGACACTATAGTGCTACCCAATGATATTTGCTGTTTGAGGTGAAATGGTTCCATTCATAATTTCCTACACTCTTTTAATGTTCACATGAAATGAGTGGGAAAAGAACTGTGAGGGAATTTGGCTTAAGTATCACAACAGTGCAAGTCTTATTATACTAGCTATTTACTGACAATTTCCAGCAAGACATTCATGACAAAAGCTGCAATATTCAATATAATATAAGCTTAATTAAGACTAGATGTAATTCTTATTTAAAGTGATGTGGTAAAAACTGAATGCTTATTTGGGGACAGTTCTGATAGAGATGTAGGATTATATGTCAGGAATGGAGCTATCTTTATTGATGAAACTGCACATATGTATATCTTTATTATGGTCTTAGACCAGTACAGATAAGAGAATAAAAGCAGTAAGAGCAGTAAAAACAATAGATTCAATTTGTCCATCGGGTCAAAATTAAAATAGCCGTGCTGCAGGGATGATTACCCTTTAATAGAAATTGGGCATAGACTGAATCTGGTCCATCAGGATACCTGCCAATCAAGGGAAGAATAACCCTAGCACTTTTATCTCTACAGAATGGGCAACAGGGGATGGCATGTTCCCAGGCTTCTACCTCTCTTGTGTCACAGGGACAAAGCCATGAACCACTAGGCACTTTTTATACTTGCCCTTCAGTACAGCAGAGGGTAGGGCTCGGCACCTGACCAATATAAAAGTTTTACAGTGGCTTGGTGTTTCTAATTGTGAAAAGTATCCTGTGAGAGCCACTAAATATTTGAGCCACTCCAAAGCTAAAAAACCTGGTACCTTCCCAATCTTCCTGACATTCTATGTCAAGGATTCTTTGTTTAACAGCTAGCTTAAGCCCTGTCATGACCCATCACTAGGGGAGAAATCCAGAGGGAGAAATTTCAGTTGGATTATCTTGATCCAGGAAGATTGACAGGAGTTCCGGATGACTGCTGGGGGAGGGGGGAGCAATCCTCTAGGGTTATATTCTAATTTCAACCACAGATTTAGGGACACAAGGCACACCCTTGCCTCCACTGTACTCATGCCTATCTCCAACCAAAGGATAGCATTTGGGACATATCAAGGGAGTTGTAAAGCTGCTCTAAGAGACTGCACTTGTTTCAGAAGGGCAAAACAGGGGGAGGCAGAGCCTGCCTAGGTCCCATAGAATAATTCTGCCACTGATTTTGCCTGAAAGAGTTTTTTTACAGGTGCTATGAAATACCCTCCTCCCCCAGTGCAGAAACTTCAGGGCATCTGAGGATTTCTGTCAGGCCTAGCCCAAAGAACTCCTGGAGACCATGCAGGTTCAATCAGCAAGGTT